TTTTGATTTCCAACCCAGATACGTAGTTGCTTTCGACATGACTGCCGACCTTACTTGTTATGTATTGAAAACGAAAGGCAGTTTGTAGACAGGACGAATGTAATGTATGTAAAAAAGAAGGCTGCCTGTAGGCAGGATGTCATGTAGGCAAAACAGAGGACTCTCTGTAGGCAGGACGTGTACTGAGGACGAGAGCACAGTTCAAGTGACGAGTCATGTTAGCCAAGAGGGATTTAAACGTCATTGGTTGAAAGGTAGCCAATCGGAACAAAAAAGAGGGATGAAGGCTGGCCAGTCAGAACAAGGAAATAGGTGCACGCCTGTCCGTGGCCTTAACCGGCGCTTGAGGCGCGCATCGTGTCATGATGTCCCGACACTACGGGTGGGCATGCACAGCGTTACTCGGTTGGCAATGGTTGTAAGCCACTTAGTTGCAACTACAGAATGTAAAAAGTATGACCGTATATGCATACCCTGCGGTAACTAAGCGTTCACCGATTGGTTACGAAACTCACTTGTCCTGCTGAGTGTTGGCTAACAAGGTCGTGGGTATGAACTTCGGGGGTCGCTCCCCCCCCGGGGGTTGGGTATGGCTAGCTGATGATAGCTAATAAGCCAGAAATGGTCATTCCTGTCTCTCTTTTCTTTGTCGATAATGTATTTCTGCCTTGTTTCTCTAAGCTTCGTCACCGCTTCTCTTTATCTCCCTTGCCCCTTCTTCAGGGTCTCGTTCTTGGCGTTTTCTTCTGGGGCTATATGTTTACCCAGTTCCTAGGAGGCCTGCTGAGTGACATGTTTGGCGGTCAATTCGTCATCGTCTCCTCTACCCTCGTCTGGGGTGTTGTGACACTCAGTTTCACCATGCTGCCGCTGGCGTCTACTGAATATGACGCTGTCTTCCACTTCTTTATCGTCCCACGCTTCTTTTTGGGTTTCTTTCAGGGTGAGTCACTCGGTCTTTTCTTATTTTTTTCTCTGCTGACCTGTGGTATAGACTAGCCATTGCTTTTGGAGGAGGACATGGCAGACCAGGCTGGACTGCCCTTCCCCTTCTCTGTTCATCGTTTCCATTCTGTTAATCTGCAAGATACTCGGCAGTAGGCATATTTGACAGTTTGATCATCCACTCCGGAGAGGTTTACTGTGTGCCCCATGTTGTGCTATGCGCAGGGACGTTGACTTGCATGTTAATTACTTCTTAGTGGTAGAAGATCTGGAGGTGAGTGTTGTAAAACAGGTTGTACGGGTTTGAGCACTGCCAACTGACGCACTATCAGCCCATTGTCTGAAGTGGCTGATGGCTGGACCGAGAGTCAGGAGGCAACGACTCCTTCTAATCCCCTGGTTGGGTAAACTCTGGTGTGTGCATGTCAAGGATGCCGGTCGTGCTGGGGAACGTGCAGGCGGATTTGCCGGCCTTTCAGTCACTGTGCCCTACCCCATATCAGACTACCCATCAGCTAGGGGGTAGCTTGGTGCTGACAGTGGAGGGGGAAGTGTACACTCAGCGCATTTCTTTCCTCATTATAAACCATCTGATGCGCTTAAGGCTGGCTAGTAGCCCTTGTTGGATCAGGAGCCCCGCTGTGTGGGCCTTAAT